GGTCTAGATCTTGTCGGTTGCAATAAGAAACAGAACTGGCGAAAAATCTAAGAGGTATTTTCGAATGAAATATGAAAACAGTTGTGTCACAAATGCAAAATATCTGAATAAAGTGTTTGACGGAAAATATCACGCAAAGAACTCAGATCACTTCATTCGAAGTAAACTCTAATTAAATAAAATGAGGTTTTCTTTTGTTATGTCTCTTTATCTGTGTGCATTCGTGTGTCTATATTATTTCGGGTGTATTGAAACTAACTGTCTAATGTGATGATTACTCTGAGTAAGAGCGTCACTCAAATGTCATGCTCGTAGTATAGATCTGATGAAATATGTTTATTTTAATCTAGAAATTCAGTTGAACTCGTATTTTTGTAGCCAATACTGGAAGATGACATTGTAGACTGATGTACTAGTAATTATATGAACTTTTATTAGAGTTTATAATGGGTGTAATGCATTTTTTATGCTAGTGTCGTAGAAGTATTTTCAATGGTGATCTCTCAGCAAATTGAATATTGTCTCTTTTTTCGAAGCGTGTAGATGCTGCTCCTGTAGTGTGTTTCATTTAGATTTTAGTTAGACGTGACTGTGTTAGTTTCGGTTTGATTGGATCGATTTATGACAAAAAGTAGCGCACGGACATGCGGACCATTATGCACAACGACACTAATGCGAATATAAATATTCACACTCATACGCTACCTTGTTCAAACTTTGGATAATAGTTTTGTTGAATGCTGTAAAACAGTGTATAATATCAAAACAATGAAATATTCAGTCGAGGGAGAAGCATGTCACAGAGACGAGCGTTACTTGTAAATATTTTAATTGAAAAAAACAACATTGGAAACATTTTGAGAGTCGGAAACTTTATCGCAGCTTTTTCAGAAAATAAAGAAGTAAAAGCCATACACTGTAAAAAAAAAACGTAGAATACTAAATCCTAGTACGAGTGGAAAAGTTTCCTAAACCCTTAAAGGGTTTATAATTTTGTCCGAAACCCTAAAATGGTTTATTACCCGAAGGGTTTATGAAACTAAGGGTATTTGAAAATAAAAAAAGGTTTATTGCACGAGAATTTAAGGAGAACGGTTTATTATTCTGCAGTCAAGGATTTATTGTTCTACCATTTCATGAAAAGCGTTTATTATTCTACATTTCTTTAAAAAATGTTTTTCTATTAGACCTTTGTAAAGTCATAATAGAAAGAAGAAGTTCATCACAGTTGATTATACTATTGATGATGACTATCAAGATGGTTTTTGCTTCCTTAGTTGATGCAAAACTACGTGCTTCTACTAATGAAATCACAACAAGAAAACATCGTTGTTACTAAATATTTAATAGGAACTAATGTTCCTTTGTATTACTTTACTATTGTATTTTCGTTGTTGTTATAAAAGAACGACTGGAATGATATTAAATTTATCAAATTAATGAAATATTTTATATGCATTCTATGGCTTTATAATATGTGAAAGAATTGACTTTTATGTGAGAGTAAATATTTTTAATTCATTGACTGAAATGTTTTACCTTCCAATCTTGAAAAAAAAGAGATTTCAAATTAAACACGATTTTAAAAACTATAAGTACTGGAAAATTAACCTGTTGAGTCATCATATTAATTATCATACCTTTCGAAAAGGCAATTTTAAGTGCGAGAAAAAAACAAATTCCGTTCCAGCTTCCAAATTCTCACTGGAATTGCTAGCACAGGATCAATATCGTTGTATTATCTATATACTTCGAGCCAGTAAACACTGTCATTGAATTTAATATATTTTGATAGAATTTGGAAAATACTAACTGGTTTTTATTCTAATGTATATGTACTAGAACATATTCGTTTATTTTCTCCAGAAATGAATGGAATGAAATGCTTTCTATGTTACATAATTCAAAACTATTAGATGCTACTTTATATTCAGATAACATGACTAAAGCAGTTGCTGTATTCAGTTACATATAATCATATTCCGACTTGTAAGCAGATACGCCAACAACTATGCATATGTTATATTTTTCGAGTATGTTACAAAAATAACATTTTCAAAAAATATAGCAGTCAAGCGACACAGATTTCACTTATTTAAAAGTTAAAACTATTTTAATGTAGTGCGTAATGCATCGAATGAGCTTGTCTTAACGATATTTCTAAAAACATTGTATCGAATTATAGAAGACGCCAATTTCACTAAGCAGTGTTACTTATTTCATTATTTAGATTTAGTTCTAAATGAACTTGAGTTATAATGTAAGTATCATTTATATCAATAATTCTTTTTTTTTTATTTATAAAAATTGCAATAAAGAACTTAAAAGTAAGTATCCTCTAATATATACGTATGTGTACTTTTCAATAAACTCTTCAAGGGTTTATGGATCAAAAGATACATGAAAGTAAGGATATATGAAAATAAGAATGATTTATTATCTTGGATTTTAATGAAATGGGATATGTATGATAGTTTCTCTAGGGATATATCATTTTACATGTTTATGAAAAAGATTTATTATTCTGAAAGAAGTTTGGTCGTGAAAAGTGAAGATGATTCAATCCGAGTCTATGCATCCTATCGAAAAAGATTCTGTCTAATCCGTTTGAACCCTGATAAATGAATTATATGAATTCAACTGAATGTGGCACTCGAAAAAACTCGAAGAATATTAGGTTCCGCAGAATATTCTCTCGTCTTTCACAGAAGTCCAATAACCAAAAGCCATGACCGGTTTTATGCTGGAAGACATTCAATATGATCTTTTTCAATTGAAAGTGAGGATGAACCGTCCGGTTGGACAGGGTCCTTCTATATCAGTTTAATATTTTCGTCGTATTTCACGCAAAAACTAACTAAAACAGTTGGTAGAAACGTCAGAAATAGTCATATATGATAATACTGGAAATCGGAGTTATCAATCTAAAAAAATAATTAATTAGACTAATTCATTGATAATAACTATGAATAAAGATGCTTACATCTCAAGACATATTTCTCTAATGAACAGCTTGTCTGAAATATTACGTCAGACCTATCGAAACATTTGTGGGTCAAGCTGGCAAACGGCATCTAAACGAAAATAATCTGTCTGTATGGATGCGCTTACTTCTATCACGATTTCTTTGCAAATGAGTGAGTTGATACAAAGACACTCTTATATATATATATATATGATGATATTGTTTATGACGATCAACAAATCTACCTAGTCTATTGATAAAAGGTATTTACCGAGCCTAAATAGCTCTGATTCAATCAGGCTCGATATTAGCTAGTTCTAAAAAAAAACCTTCTGTGCATTGTTTTACTTTTCAATTCACAGTCAATTCTTTGTTATGACTATTTCGACAGATTAACTAGGAGATCGAAAGAGATCGAATTGAAGGTCAAGAACGATCTCGGGTCAGATCGAGACAGAACTGCTTGGTATTGACGCAGACTCAGTACATATCAAGTTGTGATATATCTTGCTCGTTGTTCAATGATAAGTTGTGTTACTCTATGCCTCGGAATCACTCGCCGATATTTGTTGAGGAATGAGTCATTGCAATTCTTGACAAATAAGGATGTGGCTGTGAGGTTTCAATGCATCCCAGAGTTGGAACGGGACAGTTTTTCTTTCTGTCTGGTTGGGTAAGTTTTACAACTAAAATGACAGAGATCCTATCCAAACAATCGGTAATAAAAGCATCTGCTCACATAAAACGGTAGCGAATGGGAATTAAATATTCACATGTAGAAATTCGCATTGAAGACAAAAAACTTGGGGATAAAACGCTCATTCTCATATTTTGTAGCAAGATGCATCGACTTTTCGAGCCCGATATCGATATAAATTAATTATTTAGATCAAACATTTTTTTTTATCTTAATTTCAAAAACAAAAAAAGCAATTTCATAACAAATCTAACACAAAAATGTAAATATTTATTTTTCTTGCTTCAGGCATCTGTCTAGTAGAACAAGAAAATGAATTATTTAACCTATATTGAATTGAGCGACACATGAGAAAGAAATCGATAGAGACATAAAGAGAGCAATCAATCGTGTAAAGTCAAGTCGAAGACAAGATATCTATTGAATCTTTCGCAAACGCATTTTTTCGACTTGAAAATATCATAAAAACACTGTTTTCAGTAGGGAAAATGCTCGGGTGCAGACAACAATTTTGTAATGATTCCAGTAACGTCATTTTTCTCGGTATTCTCTTTGGAGTTTGTTTCGACAGGCATTTTTTATAAAATGGTTTGCAAAAAAAAAACAGCAGAAAATTTAACTGTGATATTTGGTCACGATCCCTATTTGAGCCCGTTAAATCTTGAAAATATTTTCCTTTACATCTTAAAACAAGATAGTTGGTTTCAAACGAGAACATCAATCAAGCAAAACCATTAGAATCATATAAATTTGTACAACAAGTGTACATCTGACTATTAAATGCCACTTTCAAACATTTCGACAAAATGTATTGCGTTATTATACAAAATTACTTGCCATCAGAAAGAGTACGAAGTCAGACGAAATGTATTGGCGCCGAAACTCCGTCTGTTCATTTTTTTTCCTCTACATTCACCAATCAGTGATGATATTGGTAATTATTTTAATCGACTGTAGCAAATGCAATGAACAATAATTCACTTAGGATGAAGCACTCCACTACTCTTCGATGAATCTGTTCAAAATCTTGACACTATTAAAAAAGACTTGTCAAGAGAAAACAAATTAATATGAATATTCAAACTGTTACGTAAAATTCATGACCATACTTGATCATGACTCATAGAGCAAAAACGAGCCATCAGGGTGTTATATTTATCTCAGTCATACTGCCAAAGTTACAGTCTAAACATGTATTAGTAATTCATTAAGAATTCTTCGAATTTTATTGAATTTATTTGAAATTCTTACATTCATCTCATATTCACATGCTCAATATATCATTGATAAAAACGTTGCTTATAAGTTGGCTAGCAAAATAAACTCCAGAATGATTCGTCATTTTTCAATATTATTTTCAGATTTTGATTTATGTTCAAAAGTGGCTACAACAGCATTATGATCCGTTGCTTGATAAGTATCTACAATGAAGCATTCTTTTAATGACCATTCATCGTTAGATAATGGATGAAGAAATATATAATCAATACGAGTTCCGTATGGACATGTTGCCACTTGTTTATCTTGTAGCTTTGGATTTACATATCGAAAGGCATCCTGAAAACCCCAGGTATCAGTTAATAGTTGAGTGAGTTCGAATCGAGGCATTTCCCATTCAGCTTTTTTACGCTTTTCAGCCACGGCTTCACGAAAGTATTTATTCGAGTAGTCATTTTGTGTCAATGAATTCATATCGCCAACAAGTACATTTATATTGTGACTATGCGGAGAAAACTCTTTGATTTGTATCAATCGATCATCTTCATTTAAGTGATCTAGATGTGTAACTGCAAATCTTCGATTTTGAACAAATGGATGGGAGCCACCAAAACGACATTGAAGCATTGCTCGATAGCCACCATCAAAGTCTCTTTTTGATGTTTGATTAGAATGCTCAATGATTGGATGACGGGAGGCAATGGCATTGCCGTATGATAGTCTATGACTCGCTCCAAATACAGAATGGCCTAACCCTAGATCGTTACATAGAAGTGTCCAATCGTAATCGTTCTTGACTTCTTCTACAGCGAGAACGTCGAGATTGAGTGAACCAAGAATCGATGCTAGTTCTTTTGCATTACTTCGACATGTCACTGGATGCATAAATAAATGAACATTGACAGTACCAATGCGAAAAGCTGGAATCACTGACGAACCATAAGCCATCTGCACAACGATACACAATATACTGTTTTTTTTTCTAATGTCTAGAAAATAAAGAGATTCATGTAAACCTATCCGCTATAGTCACTACTAGTTTAATGTCAGCCAGAAAGCAAAAAATAACACTTCCATTTATTTTCTCCCTTCATTAAATGTGTTCTTTTTTATCCTCCGGCACATATTCTCTTATAGTATCATCTTTCTTTACATGAATCAAAAGAAAATGTTGTTTATCAATTTATCTCACGATAAATGATTGTTTTTTATTATGTTCTTTGTTATTCAAGTAATAGTAATTGTACGGTACTTATGTACAAAACTCTACTGTATGTAATTCATAAGAGTTAAATATTGAAAAATCAACTAGTAAGGATAATAAGCAAGGAACCAATTGAAACTATATAATAGTTGAAATCTTGACAAGAGATTTAGAAAGTCAGTTTATTGGACATCGGGAAAGTCCGTATTGCAAAAAAAATAAATTTGAATGTTTTATATTTATTTGCTCTATTTTCGCGACATATCAGCTGAAGACTAACATGTGTTGTTTTGAGACTAATATTAAGCTAGAACGCGATGCTAACAATTCATCATAAACATGACATATAAAGATGATCGATTTTGAGAAAGACTACATGATGTAGCAGTTACAATAATAAAGACAAATGACAAATAGCATTGAGTCCTAATCTAAAATTCATATTTTAATACTCTGTAACTCATATTTGCAGGAAACGATGCAATGAAGTTGGAATAAGCTATTCCAATTTTTGGATGAGAATATGTTAATACATGGATACTAGAGACACAGACAGACTACACTGTTATTGTAGATATTATACATGATACGATAAAACGAATCCTAAATTTAAAAGAGACGAAATCTGAGGTCGTACAATGAGACTGTTCAGCAACGAGGATAGTTGCTATTGTAATTTCTACTCAAACTTTATATTCTTGTATTACTCCAACATACTAACATACGACATCAAAATCTTTGAAAGAAAATAGTAGAGTCTTTTATCAGTTGTCGAATATTGGTTCATGTTACTTTTTTATTTGAATGACTTAAGTTCAAAGTTGAACTACGTCTAGAGACTATCGTTAATCTACTTAATTAGCAGCGCGTGATCGATTGTATTGAACTAAAAAAGAAAAAATATAATTTAGTACATGCATCTGAAAATTCGTTTCGTTTATTTTGAAAGTATTTTATAAATGCTCACTATTTCGTTGATTTTATCATTTAAATTCATATTCAAGATTTAGGACTCTTGGAATAAAAACATTAACACAAAAGAATCGAACATTAAATTTTCAATATTTCGTACTTTTGTTGTCTCGAATCTAAACTCTTTCAAAAGGAAGATTTGAAGTCATCCCAACGTTGTATTGACAAAAAACGAGTCTTCAAATTTCTCTAACAATTGAATCATATCTAACATTGTTGTCACTCCCGTCAGTACTATTTTCTCGATTGAATTTTCGTTAAGCACACAAGGTCTGCAATTGATAGAAAGCAAACATACTTAAAATATATGTCAAAAGACAATGAAATTACATGGTTACGATAGTTTTACTCACACTTTCATGCCATAAAAAGTCGACTATGCTCGAATTGTGAATTTAGTCTAGAATAGCGAGCGCAAAACTGTAATATCATACATGTGCCATGTATTTTGCAAAGAAAATAAAATGAATTGCACAACCGACAGTAATACAAGAGTTTGTCGAACGACAGAAAATAAAATATGGCACGTGTAAAAACATTGAAATGGTTTCTTCTTTATTTTCTTTCTTAGTTGGAAAATAACAACATCCTGTGTATATGTGTTTGCGCAAATATTTCGCAATACCTTCAGTGATCAAAAAGTGCTGTGTATTCAATAGAAAAATGAAAAGAAAGGTGTGAGTCTTCATATGACACACATATTTATGTAAAAGAAGCACATGCATAGAAGAAAAGAAGATATTGAGAAGAGTAGCCACTCTTAGCAAGAAGTGAGCACGCGTTGGGTACTATTGCAGCAAGGCGATACCTATCAAGAGAATTGAAAATACGACTCATTCGATTTCAAAATCAGTTTGAAAAACGTTTGTATCTGAATGGGCGTGGGTGTGGATATGAGTCAACAAACGATCCACAGCCTCGATTATTTCTGCTACACATCATTTCACAGTAATATTCCCATCTCTGAAATATATTTATTTCAATTTAGAAAAATCTTATCAATCATTAATTTTAGTGAAGCTGTCTGATATCGCTTGGCATGATAGATGCTCTGATAATACAGGATATATTATCAAATGATATCCGATAATCAATGGTAGGAAACTCAACTATGCATGAAAGCGATTTATTTGTTACTGATTACAATGACGATACATTTTCACTGTGGCTCTAAATTGGATTTATTTCCTTTTTCAGTTATTAATTGTATAGTGTTCTGAAGACATCTGATAGTCGTTTAACATGTCGGATCATACACTTAAATTGTAAATCATTCTGACAAATTAAAAGCTTCCCTATGAAATATGGCTTAATAAAACTAGAAGAATTACTGCAGTCATTTGCTAGTATTAAATGTACGTATGACAATGATCCTGCAAATAGACTATTGAAATAGAAATATTACTTTCACGTTCGTAAATGACATTTATTTATCAGTAACAATATATTAAAATGTTAATTTCAGTTACTAAACTTCTTAAAAAAACTCTCTTAATAAATTTTTAAAAAGAAATTTTTTCAAAAACAGAAGAGTTAAATGTAATTCATATGCAATTGCTATCCATCCAAATTTCATTACGGAGTGCGTAACGCAATTTTTTACGACCATACTTTGCCGTATGACATAGCTCAGTATTATGGTCGAATTCTTCTGTGATAGTATAACGAAGAAATAGGACAAGAAACAGAGTGTTTATCATTTCAACTAATCATATTGTATCCATATACGGTCATTTTTTGCCATTTATTGTCGCCGTCTGCCCTCCCCCTTCCCCATCTCCCCACTCTTAATATAATCAAACTGAAAACGAATCTAAAATAAGTAACTATATTAAATAACAAAAAAAAACTACTTTTGATTAAATTTATAAACTCATATGTTCTAAAGTAAATAAAATGACTTTAGGTAAATTAAAAATACTTTCTGTTCATCGAGTTGATTCTGTTCAATGTATTTCAATAAAATAAATTAAAGATAGCAATAATACTAAGCCTATAATCTCTGCATATCAGTTATCGAAGCTTTGTGATGTATGCACGTAAGGATAATATAAAAATAAAAGAAAAATAATTTGAACACATAGACAGAAGTATTTAAATGAAATTACTAATAGTAGCACCGACGCCTACACTGATAGACTATTCCGTTTCTCAAGGAATCCAATTATGCTTAGCCATTTTCATCAGGAATTTCTAAAACAATGCATATAGTAACTGTATATGACCATATATGAGTCACACGAGCTGACATATGATAGCATTCGATGATCATCAAACTCTATTCACGCAGAAAAGAAGTTTACAGTTGGAATCCCGTCGTACTTTTCTTAAATATTCGTATACAACTGTACTTCTCACTATTTTCCTCCGTAAAAGGTCATTGGTAAATATGCATATACGATCTTGGTAATTATAAGTGAAATATTTAATTCAATAATATAAATAAATTATATATTTATTTTAAATAAAATTTGAATATTTGTTTTCAATAAAATCAAAACAACATCGAATTGGAGAATTGTTATATGAGAGGGCGCACATATCCAATCTTCAATTTCGTTACAAACATTGTTACTCGTTCGTTCATGTCTAATCATATACTGATCATTCGATTTGAACTATTTGTTTGATTTCTTTTTATTCTGAAGAAAAGCAATAGCAATGAAATGTCTGGTACACTTCGTCTTCGGTTTGTCTTTTAATTCTTGTGTTTTATTTAATTTTAATAATTTTCTTTTATAGAGAACATCTTCAAGAAGTAATTTCACTTCTTTCGAATGAACCAAAGTCTTCATCTATTCCATTGAATGAAAATAAAGAAGACGAAGAAGAAATAACATTTACAAATTTAGTAAAATAAAAATAATGAATTTATGCTTTTCTTATTAACTTCATTTTCTCATTCTTATTAAAGAACTATACAAATAATTCAAATAAAATGACAACAAATATGATTGATATAGTTGATCCAATTGATTATGAAGAATATCTTGATGAACATAGACAAAAAGTTGAAAATGATCCATTACATCATTTACTTGAATGTCCAATTGATGATATTGATTTTATTCGTATTGATCGACAATATCGTACTATTATTCCAACAATGCCGGAAAAAGAGTTTGAATATTTTTAAATAAAAAAAAAAAAAAGAAAAAGATTGATTTTCTTTTCTAGAGCTTTGAATGATCCACACATTCGTGATTGTTTACAAAGTTTTAATGGTGAACATTTTTTTCTTCGTCGAAAGTATGTTTAGTTTTTTGTTTTTATATTCATTTTGTAAAAATAAAAATTTCTTTTAAGTTATAATCATCATGGTAGTGCCATAACATTATTAAATGTTCGTCAAGAACAAATGCAAGCTTTAAAACAAATACCTAAACAAGATTATGAAGTTGATTTAATTGATGATAATAGACAAATTTTAATTGATCAAGAAAGAGTAAAGAATTTATTTATATCTTTATTTTTCTTATTAGAAAATATTTTATTAATTTTTCTTTAGGATAGTCCAAGAAAATTAGCTATTAATGATTCAACAATAAATCCAGTAAAAAGCAGTTGGGTTTTAGCAAAAGATGATTTAGATAAAACAGAACCAGATACAATAATGCCTCATTTGAGTAAGAATCCTTTCGAAATCGTTTTCTTTTTTCTCATTTAATTATTTTTTTTTTCAGTTGAACGTATTCCGATTGAGAGTGTTGATAAAGAAAATGAATTATTACGAGGAAAAAATCGTTATGCAAAATTATTTAGTTCTTATCCACCTCAAGCTGATGTAAGTTTAAAAATATGAAAAGAAATATTCATTTTAGTTTATCATTTCTAATAAAATAAAAACAAAATTATCATTTTTTTATATATTAATCAAGAAAAATTTGCCGACATTTAGAATTGTTGATATCAGTATTCACCTATGGTTAATTTATTTTTGATAAAACAATAAGTATAACTTAGATCGATCTATCAATGTATCATTAAATTAAAATATTCTTCTATTCACATATATAATAACTTTTAATCGATAAAAACACTTTTGTGATCAAGGAGATAAGTGCAGAACCTGAACACCAAATTTTATTACAAGAGATGCTGAGATGCCACGAATTTCACATCTGCATTTTCTCTCTTTTTTTTTTAATAAAACTTAATCTTTGTTATATCACATTAAATGAATTAAAAGAAGATGAAAATCCTATAGATCATTTTTTTCACGGAATATGGTTACAATTTATTAATTCTCCGTTAAAGTTTAGTGTATCATCTAATAACGATTTCTGTCTCGTTAAATATACGTTCGAATCATTTAGAAATTGTAATGCAAAAACTGTAACTGTCTTGTTTTTTTTATAGGTTGATTGTATTGAATATCGTCCAGCAGCCGAACCACTTCAACCATATACAACATTTAAACTTCAAGTTAAATGTTTAGATTTCAAGTAAAAAAGAAAAAGAAACTCTAAAGAATATTTTTGACACTTAACTTTTGTTCATTATTAATTTAGATTTGAACCGGAAATGGAACCAATGTTTATAACATTAGCATTATATGATTTTAAAGAACGAAAAAAGGTTAATTTTAATTAATATTTAATACAAATTTAGATAATTTTAGTTAATTTAAGATATCAGAAAATTTTCATTACGATGTAAATAGCGATGCATTAAAACAAATGATTCATATTCGACCTGCAGTTGATGGTTCAACATTAAGTCTATCGTCTATTTTTCCAATATCATTTCCATCACCTGATATTTATCTTATTATTCGAGTAATATAATTATCTGTTTATTTAATAAATATCTTCATCTTATTTTTATAATTTAGATCGAAAAAGTTTTACAACAAGGTGATTTATCTGATTGTGCTGAACCATATATTAAACAAGATATAAAAGTAAAGAAATTTTCTATACTAAAAAGAAATTGTTTCATACTGAATTTATTTATTAATTATTTCTCATTGATTTTTTTTCAATAAGTTCCATGTTTAAGTCCTATGAAAACAAAATTTGTTACCAATAAAAACATGTTTTTTTATGTTTTTACAATATTATTCTAAAAACAAATGACCTTTTATCAATTCAGAACACGTTTACAAAACACATTCTTACTTGATAAAATTCATTTTCTACGAGTATCCTTCGACATTCTAAATTTACCAGAGCGCATTTTCTCTGAAAGAACAAATATTAAAATAATTCAAACTACACCCATAAATCGGAGACATATGCTAGCAGTGGACATTAGAATCATTCGATAGAGAAATAGAACGAAAGAATATAAACATATATCTATCATTCACTGTTCTTCTCTGTACATGTCAAATTAAATAGATATCATTTCTTTAAGATCTCCTCAAAAGATCAAGTACATTCATGTCGCATGAAATTTTCAGCCTTATACCATGACATTCGAGCGAGATATTTAACATACAAGAGTAAAAATTATCTCATTTGGCAAGTCAAAATTTCTGTGGGTATTCATTTGTTTTTGTTTGAAAGAGCATCTAAAGATGAAGGATATAACAGAGATTTCTTTGTAAATTCTTACATTTGAAGGATAGAAAAGTTCAATGTTTCAACAACAAAAAAAAGAAGCTCTAATTATAATGGAATTCTTTCAAACAAAAAGAAAAGTCGTTGGCTACAATCAAGCGTCTTTGAGAAGTTTTGAATACCCGATCAAAAAAGAATATTTTTCAAGCAGAAAATTATGTCAATTTTTGTGACAGAATAAGGTATCAAATAAAAACTCATGTCATTTTATGAAAGATAAGACTTCGGACTATCCTCTTATGTATTTATCTTAAGTTTTCATGTTTCTGACAAAAATTTATTTTTGTTTTTAGGAGACTTAAAATGAAAAAGTAATTTGATTTTTACCTGCTTAAATCTTTTTTGACTTTTACTTGCAAAGATCGAAATTATTGAACGATTTCTTTCTTCTGAATACTTCATTTCTTCTATGTTAAATAGATTTAAGTAAAGACTATTAGTTTTTCAAGAAAGCATTTCTCCTATGAATGAAAAAATTCACTTTTTTCTAGCAATTACTCAATAGAAAACATTGAGTCTCATCGTCCTAAAATAAGATAAGTTTATTTTTCTCATTTAATTATTTACAAGTATGAAAATTATTTCAAGTTGTTAATAGATGTGTCAATATCGAAAATATTTGAATCGATTGATTTAGTTCCCGATGTAAACCATTGAAATACATAGAAGATTTCTTTGATAATTTTCTTTTAGAATCAACAACGATATTATGAACAAGCTATACAATTTTGTCAACGTCTTGGTCGTTTTCGTATGCCATTTGCTTGGTCAGCAATTAGTTTACGAGATATTCTCAAAGAAATTGAACAAGAAACAATTCTATCAGGTCATGCTAATACTTTACCTGCTAATTCAGAGTTAATAAATTCAACTAATAAAGCTTCTAGTCTTGGTATGAATTAAATTATTTCAAAAACAAACTAAAATTCATTTAATTTCTTTTTTAGAACGAAAAAATATAGGTACAGGTGGTCTTCGTAATGCTTATGAAAGTTTTCGACGTTCACGTGATGAAAGTTTAACACGAAATAATTCGAAAAAAATTGATGATCGACAAATTCCTACATCATCACCAAATTCAACATTATCATCAACAAATACAAATCTTTCAACAACATCTGATGAATTTTTTCATATATTAGCAAATTTTGATCGACCAATTATTGTTACACTTAAAGGAGTTTATAAACAAGTAAAAATGAAATTTCTTTAACTTGCTTGTTTTTTTTTCTGTAGAACTCATATGATGATATTTTTCGAACAAAAAATTATATTACTGTAAATTTTGAGATTCTTTTCCTTAGTATCAAATGAAAAAAAAAAAAAAAACTTTCAACGGTATTAACAATAAAGTTTTCCTCGAAATTTGAAAGGTTGGAATACATTTGTCAATGTTTTAAATGATGTTGTTTTTGATATTTGTATGGATAAAAATTTATAATGAATATACCAATGACGATAGATAGTTATGCATCGATTTATCTTAGGCATCACATAATCAATATAAAAAGTGTAAATTAATCAAGTTAGAATTTTGAGAAGAAATAATTCATATCAATTTTTGTGAATTTATCAAGATATATTAGTGTGTTGAGGTCTGCTGCTATAGATATATAATGATTATTTAGAACAAGTTCATTTGTCAGTTAAATCAATTGTTAGAATAATAGTAATGTTAAATTAAGAAAAAAAGAAATAGTAACAAAGCAAATAAAAACTAGAGCACTAATAAGAAAATAACTATAATCTTCTGTTCGAGATTTTTCACTTGACATATTTTGTATTAGTATAATGATGTTAAAGAGCACATGTGAATTCCATATGTTAACTTTAAAGTGGTCATGCTGACAAACTTCGTTTTTGTTTTTGATTTGAAAAATTCTTTTTTTTTGAATTAATTTAAGGAAAGTGAACGATTAAGTGATGAAGATATATTTAAATTTCTTACCGATTTTCGAAAACCACCAACATTAGCAAAAAAACCTAAAACTATTCCAGGTAAATATAAGAAAAATAGAATTTGAAAATCAAATGAATTAAATTTCATTTAGCTTATATTCGTTTTGAATTTAATCAAATACATCCTGGTGATACAGTTGATTGTTGTCTTGATCCTCAATTAAATCGTTTAAAACCTTATACTGATGATACAAGACGTCCAATAAAAGAATTAATTGAATTTCCACCACGTGAAATATATTTACCACATACATCATATAGAAATCTTCTTTATCTTTATCCATTATCTCTTAATTTATCAAATTTAACAACACGTGGTTCAACATCAGCAAGAAATATAGCTGTTAAAATACAATTAATGGGTGGTGAAGAAGAAATATTTGCATTACCATTAATATTTGGAAAATCATCTGGACATGAAATGATTAAAGAAATTTATTTACCCGTTTTATATCATTTAAAATCTCCATCATTTTATGATGAAGTTAAAATTCGTCTTCCAGCTGTAATTGATGAAAATCATCATTTATTTTTTACTTTTTCACATATTAGTTGTCAACCGAAAGAAAATGCACCGATTGAAACACCTATTGGATATACAGTAAGATCTAAAACAAATCAAACAACAATTTTTTATTATATTTAACTATTTTTTATATTTTTAGTGGCTTCCATTATTAAATAATAATCAACTTGTACATGGAGATTTTAATTTACCTGTTGCATATGAAAGACCACCACATAATTATTCACTTGTACCACCAACGGTAAAATTTTTTATATTAAAAAAATATATTTGTTTAATAATTCTTTTTTCTTTTTTTTTTAGAATCATGATGTTAATAATGTTAAATGGGCTGATAATCATAAACCTTTATTTTCCCTATCAATTCGCCCTTCATCAACAATTCATTCATTGGTTTGTGATCAATAAATAGAAAAACAATTCCTTCGATAAGAGTCGAAATTTGCCATTTTATAAACTATTTTACAATATCTACTACATGAAACAATATTTTGTTCTGCATATATTAATGTGACGGATTTGATTTTTATCATTGATGAGTAGCCAATAAGATTCTTCGACTTTGTATCAAAGGTGATATATGATATAAAAGTCTTTGAAAGAATGTTAAGCTGTTATATTATATTACCGAATTAACGAGACATGTTTTTTCAGAACAAACTGAATGAAAAGAATAATTTCAAAACAAAACTGTTAGTCCAATTCTTGTGGGATTAAAACGTGAAATATGATTTAATTACAGTTACTATTCATAGAGAGACTTTTTTATTCTATCTATTTATAGGCACATGTCGTCACTATATTTTTACTGAATCCTCTAGAAATTCAATAACGAAGTAGTTTATACATTAAAACAAAACGTTATTGATATACGATCTTTTATTGATTAAGTTTTTGGTTCAATTTGATTAATTCATGAAGCTCAAAATAATTCACAGATAGAGACTTTTCAAAGTGAAAACACGTTGAAAGAACTTTTTTAGAAGTGTTTAGTATAAAAGTTGTAGTTTAGGTCTTATTCTTTCTAACAAAAAAAAAATTTCTTGATTTAGAAGTCGACAACGTAGTATAAGAAAGTTTGACAATTTTTTGAAGACTTCTATATCGTACATTATATATATATAGTTAAATATTGACATTAACGAAATTTTTCTGTCCCGTAAATATTTTGATATTAAATACTGTAATCAAATATGTCTTTCTTCTTTTAAGAAATACATGGGTTAGAATGAGCTCACAGCGGTATATTTACTATAAGTTCAAAAAAGTTTGCTCAGCATTTGTTAGGAAATAAAATAAAATCTATTCATAAGACTTGCTAAAAAACTGCGTTATCATTCTCTCTACAAAATGCACTTATGAGAAAGCTTTTGAAAATTGTCCGAGTTTGAAATTTTTCACAATTATCTGATAAAATATCTTCTATTCTGTTAGTTTCAGACGTGACTGCGACCATTTGTATGAAAAGAAATATTCGAAATTTCAACATTAAAATCAAGGTCAGCATCAAATAGTGATTCGAATGATATATAATCCGATGAAAAAGGTATTTGTACTTTCAGAGTTTTTATTTGCAGTTCCGTTAATATATGCTTTCACTGAAGTATATATCATGCGACTCAGTTTTTTTTTATGCTGAACTCTATTTTAATAATGATAATTTATTTCGAATATTGCCCATGGTCGAAATCGTGCGCTTGATATCAACAGAATTGAGGATACTTTGTCAGATTTTTATGAAAAATTTCAGATTCAGACAATTTTTGAAAGTTTTTACAAAAGTGAATTTTGTAGAGAAAATTATTATCCATTTTTTCAGAAAGTCTCATTAATGAGTTTGTTTTTATTGTCGAGAATAGTCGATCAGATTATTTTTATTGTTTTAAGATATATCGTTGTTATCTTATTTTGACCCATATATATCGCAGAAAAGAAAGACAATTTATCAATGGTGTATATGCATCTGTAGAACAAAAAAAAAGCATCTAATCACAGTATTGAATATCAATAATATTTGCGGACAAAAAAAATTTGTTCTTACCAATCTTTAACCATTTATTTACCTCCGATACACGAGCCGGTGAATTATGTCGGTTTATCACCAAAGATAAAAATAGAATCCATTGCAATAAAATATGCAGAACAACATGTCCTTGCATGAAGTGTATATTTTTAAATATTTAAGAAGGGTGGCTCGTTTAGTCTCTTATCGTCTGGGGCTCTTTTCTTTTAAATGGAATTAATATTGTTTTTTTGTAAAAAAAACAGGATGAACGATTGGAAAATTTTTTTCACATGTATAATCAACTTCGAAAACAAGCTTATGTTTCTCATCATCATCATCATCCTCATTATCAAATAACTGATAAAGATTTTAAACAAGCAATTATGGATACTGTTTGGGCACAAGCAGAAAAACTTGTTCAATTTCTTTATATTCTTCTTGATACACTTCTTTCATTATTAGTTCGATCACCAATACTTAATGGACATATATGTAAATATATTTTTATTTTTATTTTTTTAAGAAAATTTACTTTTTTTTTATATGACATATCTTATTCGATCTTTTGAGATGAGATCTATTTAACTTAGAAAGGAAGAATATTGAACATAGAGTAAAACTTGTCTAGCGTAAGTACTATCGGACGGAATAAGTCAAAAGCTTTCACTATACAGAAATTTTGATTATTGAGAAATTTTTAGTTTTTTTTTGTCAACCGATCAGTATTCAATTGCAATTGCTTTCGGCTGTACAAGATAATGTTTTTCTTTTTCCAACATTTTTTAAATTAACTTTTTCAACCAGAGATAAATCAGTACGTATTGAAATGATTTGATATTACTAATTATAAACACAAAAACGATGAACTGTAATGTCAAGCCTTGTTTTCATTGTCTAATATGTGTTTTTTTCTTCTTTTTCTTTGTAATTTATATATATTAAGCTAGGCCCCATTCCCTTTTTATACGTATTTCATTATTGTTTATTATAACACAATACACGTAACATCGTTTCTTTTTCTCGTCTTGCGCATGAATGCTTGAGCATGTGCTGCTCATAGTAGACAGGTTATTATTGCTTATGAGAGCAGAAATAAGTGCTCACTACTCAGAATAAAGAGGTACTCGTATAGAGAGGTTTACTGTTTTTGATTCAAATTAAAAACCTTGGAATAAAACTAACATTTAAAACGTGAGATGCTTATATGATATGCATCAACTGACATATTCGAATTTCAAGGTAATTTCAGTACACGTTATGTGTCAGCTATTGAAATTTTTATCAGGATTTTTTTTTTCTTATTTATCATGGTTGAAGAGAGATTGTCAAATTACATAAGATAATATTTTACATATAGAAAAAGAATTTAACGTTGTTCTTCTAATGTAATTCAACGAACTCTATTTAACCATGACAAAAAGAGAAAAATAAATTCTGTTGCAATTTTTAACTATTAGCAAATAAGATACACTAGAGATGCCTTGAAAATGTAAATTAGGGAACTGCAAAGTAGTCCCGGGACCGGGACCGGGACTAAAAATTTTTCACATTGGTCCCAGTCAGTTTTTATGCAATATATTTTCACGTTTATTATTTTGACATGATTTAAGATCTGTAAATCAGATATTTTTATTTGATATTTCTATAAAAGTCTTTACTGATTACAAGTCTGTTGGTAAGAATCTGAGTTTTCCAACTGCACAGGTTTTTGAATACATATAAAACAACCAACGCAACACTATATACGTAAGTTTAATTCGTTCATTCTTTGATGATTCCTTTATTGAAGTCTTATCAGATAATAGTAAATAGATATGTATCGCCGTTTATTTTTTTTTTTTTGACAATCGTAATGACTACTCAATATAAATAATCAATTCGATAATAAATCCATTAGGTAGAGCAATAGATATAAAAGAAGAGACAAATAAGTGAATTACTGCTACGAAGGATATTA